GGCTGCGGTGGCCAGGAGCGGCCACTGCACTCCAGTCTGGGCGACAGAGTGAGACTCCAACTCAAAAAATAAAATAAAATAAAAAATAAAACTGCTTTCTTTCTATCGAAGGAGAAGGACGTACCTTCACCATGTGGCTCTACCTGGCGGTCCTTGTGGGCCTGTTCTACCTTGTGCGCTGGTACCGGGAGAGGCAGGTAGTGAGTCACCTCCAAGATAAGTATGTGTTCATCACGGGTTGTGACTCAGGCTTCGGGAACCTGCTGGCCAGACAACTGGACGTGCGAGGCTTGAGGGTGCTGGCTGCGTGTCTGACGGAGAAAGGGGCTGAGCAGCTGAGGGGCCAGACGTCTGACAGGCTGGAGGTCGTGACCCTGGACGTCACCAAGACAGAGAGTGTCGCTGCAGCCGCCCAGTGGGTGCAGGAGCGTGTGGGGGACAGAGGTATGAAGTATTTTCTCCTTCTGCTTTTGTAGGCATGAAGATGCTACGGTTGTACATACATTTGTCCCTTCATATCTGTGTGAATTGGTTTCAGGATCTTCTGTGGATACCGAAATCCACGGATGCTCAAGTACCTTATGTAAAATGGTGTTGTATTAGCATATAATTTATGCAAATCTCATGTATACTTTAAATCATCTCTAGGTTATTTATAATACTGAATACCATGTAAATGCTCCATAAATAGTAATTATTCTGTATTGTTTAGGGAATATTGACAAGAGAAAATGTCTGTACGTTGTCAGTAAGTCAAGATTTTTGGGGAGAATATTTTCCATCTATGGTTGGTTAAATCCACAGAGGCGAAGCCCATGGATAAAAAGGGCTGACTGTATGTATCAAAAGCAGAGCTTAAAAGGTTGGCTTTGTCATTTGAAGGACTGCTGAGATCTTTTTTTTAACAATGTTTACATTGGAAAATGAGTTAAATAGTTCTGAGGTCATTATCTCACTTAGCAAGCAGAGTATTTATAAACACAATTCTTTATGTTTGAAGAGTTTTCAAGGTGTTCTTGAGAAATGAATTCATTTTCCCTCAGCTGCTACTTAAAATATAGGCATTCCTTGAAGTCAGCCTTTTTTACTCTTTTTAAAAAAGTTTTAAAATTTTAATTTATTTATTTAAAGACAGGGTGTCACTCTGTCACCACGGCTGGAGTGCATTGTATGATCTTGGCTTACAGCAGCCTTGACCTCCTGGGCTCAAGAGATCTCTACCTCAGCCTCCTGAGTAGCTGGGATTGCGGGAAGGTGCCACCACACCTGGCTATTTAAAAAAAATTTTTTAAGCCGGTCTCAGTGGCTCAGCCTGTAATCCCACACTTTGGGAGGCTGAGGTGAGTGGATTGCCTGAGCCCGCGGGTTCGAGACCCGCCTGGGCAACTTGGTGAGATCTCATCTCTACAATAAATCAAAAAAACTGGCCAGTGGTAGTGCACGCCTGTAGTTCCAGCTACTTGGAAGGTTGAGGCAGAAGGATCACCGGAGCCCAGCAGGTCAAGGCTGCAGTGACTGGGAGCGGCCAATGCACTCCAGTCTGGGTGATGGAGTGAGACTCCAACTCAAAAAAAAAAACCAAACAAACAAAAAAATTTTTTTAGAAATTTTGCTATGTTGCCCAGGCTGGTCTCAAACTCCTGGGCTCAAGTGATCTTCCCATCTCAGCCTCCCAAAGTGTTGAGATTACAGGTGTGAGCCACTGCAATTGGTCTCATTTTATATATTTAAGAAAATATACTATTTCTTTTTTTTTTTTAATGAGTTGGAGTCTCACTCTGTTGCCCAGGCTGGAGTGCAGTGGCACACTCACGGCCACCCCAGCATCAACTTGCTGGGCTCAGGCAATCCTTCCATCTCAGCCTTCCAAGTAGTTGAAACCACAGATGCGTGCTATCACGCCTGGCTAATTTTTTGAGTGATTGTGGAGACAAGGTCTTGCCAAATTGCCCAGGTTGGTCTCAAACCCCTGGGTTCAGCCAATCCTCCTGCCTCAGCCTCCCAAAGTGCTGGGATTACAGGCTTGAGCCACTGTGCCTGGCCTGAAAATATGCAATTTCTTAATGAAGTTTTAGATTTATAGAAAATTGAGACCAGGCTTGGTGGCTCAGGCTTTGGGAGGCTGAGGTGAGTGGATTGACTGAGCCCGCGGGTTCGAGACCCGCTTGGGCAACTTGGTGAGACCTCATCTCTACAATATAATAAAATAAAATAAATTAGCCGGGTGTGGTAGCTCACGCCTGTAGTTCCAGCTACTTGGAAGGCTGAGGCAGAAGGATCGCCAGAGCCCAGCAGGTCGAGGCTGCAGTGGCCGGGAGCGGCTACTGCACTCCAGTCTGGGCGACAGAGTGAGATTCCAACTGAAAAAAAAAAAAAAAGAAAATTGAACAGAAAGTACATCATTCCCATATATTATCACTGCCTCCAGCTCCCCCCCATTATTAACATTTTGCATTGTTGTGGTACATTTATTACAACTGATGAACCAATGTTGATATGTTATTGTTAGCTAAGACCCGTTGGTTATATTAGGGCTCACTTTGTCTTATATAGTTCTGTGGGTTTGGACAAATGTATAATGCCTTGCATCCACCATTATTGTGTCATATGGACAGTTTCAGTGCCTTAAAAATCCCTTCTGCTTTAATATTCACCACATTCCCATAACCCTGCAACTCCTGATCTTTTTTTTTTTTTTTTTTTTTTTTTTGTTGGGGTT